ATCGAAAATCTGGCAAATAATAGCGATAGCGCATACCGAACAAACAAGCAGTAGTGCTATAGGCATACTAAATAATGCGCCACCCAATATAGATAGCCACATGCTACCTGGTATCGAAAATGTCTGTATGCTAAATATAAAGTTACAATAAACATGGTATTAGCGTAAGCATTAATTAATGTTTATAATCGGATGAATTATCAGATAATTATCGAATGAATAACTTACAATATATAAACAACGGAATATGATAACATTATTTGGTAGTGATATCGATCCATATATTCATTGAGTATTTTATTTAGTGTTTGTAAATCCTCGATTCCTTTTGGCAAATGTAAATGTTGCCTTTGCTTTCTTTTAAAATAACAAATTCAAATACTTCACAATTGAATTCTCATAAGAAATTCTATTTATTCATTTAGAAACTTACTCATCTAACGGAGGCAAATATACCTGTAATATTAAAAAGACGAAAGCGGCTGAAATAATAAACCACACGATCAAATGTATTATAGCTTTTAGCGGTTTATTATTTATCAGTGAAATATCAGCTTTATCTTCCGGAATGGTTACTATTATTACAGGATCACGATCTTGCAAAGTAGATGTTAACAAAGATGTTGTTTCTGCCATTTTGTGGAATTATTAAAAAGGATTGAAGTGAAAATTAAAGAGTTATATAGTTGGATAAATTATTTAGAAATGCATTTGTTACCTATATTTAAATGTTTAAGTAACTATCAGTTTTATTATAGTGTGCAACCTACGTGCGTTGCTATCTTCGATGAATTAAAATTTACGCACTCTATTTGGTATAAATGCTCGATTTGTACCACTGCAGAGATTTGGGGTTACTATACGTACGTAAGCATACAGGATACTATATACCAATTTTATACCTTTTAAATTAAAATGGGAACGTGAGTCACGTTATCTGTTGTTCTGAGGGCAACTCATTGACTAGTACTCTAGCCCAGTGTTTAAAATTCAGTGTTCTCATGATTCTCAAAGAACATAAGGTTTTCGTATTTGAGACATTTATCCTTTCAAAATGTTTTCAAAAAAAAATAGTTAATATAATTCAACATAATGAACTAGTGCTCTGAAAGGGTCATTCAGGTCGAGTTCCAACTCGAGTAAATTTTGGTTGTATTTAATATCTATAGATTTGTATGATGTTCTGTATAATTCTATTATAAAATTATGCTATAAAATTAAGTAATACAACAATATTTTTTTTAATTTGGCTCGAGTTGGCGTAAATATTAAAAATTTTTTGAGAACATTAATAGTTTAAATTAAGCTTTTCTGAGAACATGATTTTAAATTTGAATTTAAACACTGCCCTAACCACGTCGAAAAAAGTGTCGCAAACTCTGATTTTTTTATTATTTTTTGTAAACAACAAACTCGCAATTAGCCAACCACGACATGATCATAAATTGCTAAA